GGGAAATTTTCAAGAGACCAAAATCATGCATATTTTGATCAAGGTGGTGGTGACATGAGTGCAAGCATTTGTGAAAACTCATAGAAATGCATGTTTTAAAACCATGCATTCCATTGTACGTGAATTATATCTCAATACTTTTTATTTCTTAAAAAAAGCAAATGGATCCCCACTGTTTGTAAAGAATATTTATTTAGGATCTTGGTCTTTGCTTGGCCAGACAGTTAGGGGCTTTCACAAGAATATTTATGCAATTGCTGTCTGTGTCCCTGATTATCTGTAAACCTGTGTGACATGAAGAAACACTAATTAAATTTGGAAAGAGTGTGAAAGGGAAAGAAAATGCCTTTTGGCCATTCTGTATCTGGCACTGACAACTGTGTTGTTATATCTATTCTACTTTTGGGAACACTAAGGTTTTCGAAATACAGCTGTAAGTTTTTCGGAGCACAGAACCTTCCATTTGCGACCTCTGACTTTGCCCCTGTGCAGCTCTGCACGCGGCTTCCGATGCCAGCGGCGGTGTGGTAGGAGGAAGCGTGCTTCTCTTGGGCTCATTCTCCAAATTCGAGTTGAACGTTTGGATGACCAACCAACCTGAATATACAGGAAGATGATTCCTTCTCCCTGAATCACGTGATTTCAGCCCTTTACAGGTGGCAGGAAGGACCTACACGGAGCATTTTCGACCGAAACAACTTCAGAGTTCCTGCCATTCTATAGCTCAGCCCAGTCCAAAGTCCCCTGGGATGACCTTTTTTACTTCCGCTTTCGAAGTAACTAGAACTTCACTGGAGGCAGGTTGTGATCTTCTCCTTGAGCCCATTCTAGGAGAAGCATTCAAGTGCGAGTGCCTCTTGGCAGCCTTGTTTGTTCCCCTTCCTAAGAATATTTTCCCAGTCCAGAGTCGGATTAGAAGCCTGCTGTTTCCAGCCCCTGCAGCTGCACACACTCTTGGACACTGACCACAAGTTCAACCAGGTGCAAACTGTCTCTGGAGCCAGGCCTTGTAGATGCACTGAGCTGCCCAGGAGCCTCTGAGAAACCCCCTGGCTCATCTGGATGGTGAGAGAGAAATGTGTGGTGATGTGCAGGTGTGTTTGTGGGACATGTGGGTCCTGAAAAAAGAAGGGCTTGGGTTCTGGGTCATGTGGTGAGAAAACTCCCTTCCCTTTAAGGAGTTAAGCCACAAGAGTATTTGTGGTCAAAATAAGTAAATAAATGTATGTAGGAATGAATGAATGAATGAATGAAGGAGGAAAGTAGCTTGGCTGAGAGGAGTGGACCCATTTTGTGTCTGACTTCATTTCTCAACTTTGAACTCAGGGGCTTCAATTTCAAGAGAGCCCTGCTGAGAAGGTGAATCCACACAGAAGCAAGAGAGCCCACGGGACACCAGAGAACGTTTTACAGTTTTCTACACCTGCTGGGGAAACGGTTAGTTTTCAGAAAAAAAAAGAGGAAAGAAAAAAAAAACCCATTGGGAAGGGTGGGAGTTGGTGGTATTTGTCTTAAGGTCTGTGAGGGAAAACATACCAAAAACTGTGTCTAAAAGTATGCCTTTGAACAGGGGAGTTTTTTCTTCCCTAAGAACTTTCACTTGCCTGGCTTCTCGCCACCTTCTCCTACAGAGTACCTCGTTGTCAGAATGAACATTTGGTGCCTCCAGTGTGCTCCACTTTCTGCTCTGAAGAAGATGGTGGGTGTTCCCTGTTTCTTCTCTGCTGGCTTTCTCCCCACTCTCCTCCTTCTCCAGATGTCCACGTGGTGCTCCGCAGGTCAGTGGTCTCCCTCATGCATTTCATTTTTTGGTTTGTTTGCAGTGGCTCTTCTCATATAATGAGTCCATCAGTCACAATTCCGCACCCTCTCAAAGGCAGTTATATCTGGGGAAACTGTGGCTGCATCTGCAGCCAACAAGAGGCTTCAAGGGTGGGAGTAATCTCCTTCATATCAACATCCCTTACTCCTTTGATCTGACTTCACAAAAGTCAGCTGTAATATTTATCTAAATCTTTATTGAATATAAGTGATTTCAGCCTGTTGAAATCTGATGTAACTGTTCATTAAAATATACTTTGTAATGTTTACACTGCCAAAAAAACCCAAGTTTCAGTGCAAAGAATTTGGACTCAGGATCACTGGGCACTATCTGGTTACAATCTTGGACAAATGATTTATTATTCCTGGAACACAAGTCCTTCCTTCATAAAATAAAAGGGCTCCTCAAGATAAAGTGTTCAGACTCCAGGTTTGAAGAGAAACCAACTACGAGGTCACAATAATGACACTTTTCTGTTATTGTCTCTTAAATTTGAAGTAAATTAGGCAGTAAGTATCAAAATATTTAATTTTCATATATGTTGACTCAGCAATTCTATAATAATTTACCCTAAAGAAAAGCTGTCTGTGTTTATATACATGTATGTTTAAAATGTTTATTGCAGGGCTGTTTGTAGTAACACTAAATTGGAAGCAATAGTCACCAGTATAGGAAAAGCTCAAACACGATGGTGTAGGCAGTACCCAAAACAATCAGTAGAGCTGGCTACATGTACTAAAATAGTTGCAAGTTCCTTGTTGAAGAAATTGGTGTATAATGATCCCATTTATGTGAAACAGAATGAAGTTTTTCCACTGCATGTACCTCTAAGTAATGTCAAATATCTTTTCTCAAATTAAAGGGCTCATTTAACATGAGTGGCCAATAGCTCTGTATCACTTAGCTAAGGACGTATATCTGTTAGTTATACCAATACCCTGGGTTTTATACAGGAATGGAAAAGAAGGGGGACCTTGGCTTCAGTCCAGCAGAATGGCCGATGTCACGTTCTTTGCCCAGGATGGCCTGATCCACACTCTCTGGGACAGACTGGCCACAGGCACCTTCCTCTAAGCTCATGTGCTCTTGCCATGTGTGCTCAGTACACGTGGGCACTCACACAGCCACGCCTCTCTGAACTCTTCCCAGCTCAGAGTCACTGCATTTGCAGGCCTAAAATCCCTGACCTTTCACAGATCCACAATATCCTGGCCCTCTGCCAGTGCAAGCCAAGGCAAGTCCTGCCCAGGGGTTACCATTTCCTCTTAAACATCGTGGATTTCTATACTAAAGTCATTTTCAAGCAGATGATTGTAAGTTACTTGAGAAAGGAGCATATTTTATAATTCAGACAAAGTCTCATTTTGGTCTACAGCATCCTCCTTCCTTTCCCTGGGGAATCCAGCCAAGGCCTGACCTGCCTCAACACCTGGAGCCACTGATCTCCAAGTCCTGCACTCCTCTCAAGAAAATAATTTTTATGAAAAAAAAATTCTCTATGATTTCAAGCCTTCATAGTTACTTTTTTAAAAAGGTCTACCTCACTTTATAAATACTGCTTTTCATTTTGGGATAAAACGCCATTAATCCTGCCTAACCCCCAACGCACAGTAACCTAAATCTCAAGGTCAGAAATGTCTACTTACCCTCCTAGGAGCAGAGCAGTGGGAGACAAAGGGATGAGTGAGGAGAGAAGTACCTTCCATTCTCCTCCCACCAAAAAAGGGAAACTTGCTTAATGTCACACTGCCACGTTTAATTCTCAAGAAATCTCTTTTACATAGGATTTACATAATTTACATATAAATACTGTTTGTAAATGTATAGAAAACACACGTCTTCTCAAATGCCAAAATATCACAGTTGCTACCTCTGGGGAATACAGCTGAGGAAGTTAGGTTATAAAATATAATATGTAACTGTTTTTTGGAAAATAATACAAATAAGAAAGAACTAGAATATGAAAACAAATGTATGTACGTATATGTATGGCTGGGACATTGTGCTGCACACCAGAAATTGACACATTGTAATTGACTGTACTTCAATTAAAAAAAAAGGATTAAAAAAAAGGAATAATTAAAAAAAGAACTGTTTGAGTCTCTAAATAAAGAAATGGAGGTGGGTGTATCATCTCATCTCCCTCACTCATTCCCCCATCTGTCTCTGATTTTCATGCAGTGTCCGGGTTTTCTGTAAAGGGACCAGCTCAGCCCATCATGGTGTTGCTAGGGGCAGATGCCACCCTGCCCTGCCAGCTGTCCCCTGAGCAGAATG